GAGGAAGTGAGCAATTACGGGGTCTGTCAAAGAACCTGAGTCTTGTGCAGGAAAAGGATCAAGAGCCTGCTCTGAAATGCCAAGTTAACTGGCATAGCAGTTTATTAATAAAGACTTCTTGTAGAGTCAACAAGAAATGTATCTTTGCAAGTAGACAGTTGGGCCAGGTGAGTGAATGCATCAATGGCAATAAGTACCACTTCTCAAATGTGGCCAAAACAGGTGACAATTTAGCTTCTAAGAGCAGACAAGAAGATTGGTTGTCACATCACATATCATTGACTCTGGACGTTATCATGTAGGACAAACAAATCCACAACACAAGGGAACAGGTGAAGCATTAGCAGTGGAATGTCTGACCTGAAGCTGTTCAGCCTTGTAGAGGTAAAGGCAATGCAGACTGTGGGAGCAATTATAGATGATAAGGCTGTAATGGTCACGTGTTAAGTGTGAGAATACAACCAATTTGGTGTTGCCAAATGGGAATAGAGAAGGCACGCAAAGAAATGTGATGCACTAGGAGACTAAGAAGTTCCTTAATTGGTTAATCTTTGGCTGTCTGCTACTGGCAATGCAGCATTTTGGGGTTGATGACCTAGACGATGCACTGCCTCTTCCACAGCCTCCACCAGCATAGTTCGAGTCACTCAGCTCATGCAGGGATCACATTCAGAATCAGGGACATGTTGTACAAACAGGTCCTGATGGCAGATCTGGTAGCTGAAGTATGTCAAGTCCAGAAAGTTACTGGACACCTGTGTCCTGCTGTGATCCACACTTATGATGGGACTGTGGTCTCAGCCACAGTAAACATGCAGGCAAAGTTAGAAAACATATAGTTTAGATGCCAGAGACTTTGCACAAGTGATGGAGGACAAAGCTCCACTCCCTAATTGGACATTGTGTTGAGGTTGTACATACATTGGTAAGGCCTCTTTTGGAGTACTGTGTCCAGTTCTGTTCTCCCTGTTATAGGAAGGATATTATTAAGCTGAAGAGGGTTCAGAAGGGATTTACCAGGATGTTGCCAGAAATGAAAGGTTTGAGTTATAAGGAGAGGCTGGAAAGGCTGAGACTTTTCTCACTGGACCGTAGGAGGTTGAGAGGTGACCATATAGAGGTTTATAAAATGAAGAGAAGTATAGCTAAGGTGAGTGACACATGTCTTTTCCCTAGAGTGGGGGATTTCAAGACTAGGGGGCATATTTTTAAAGTGAGGGAAGAAAGATTTAAAAATGACATGAGGGCAGTGTTTTTTAAAGAGAGTAGTTCATGTGTGGAATGAACCTCCAGAGGAAGTGGTGGATGCAGGTACAGTTACAACATTTAAAAAACATTTAGATAAATACATGAATAAGAAATGTTTAGAGGGATACAGGCCAAGTGCAGGCTAGTGCGTCTAAGATTAGTTTGGGAAGAATCATGATAGTGAGATGGGGAGACAAATCTTCTGTCTTCAATTTCCAATGCAAAATGCACACAGCAAACATGATCTCTACACCTGAAAAAATCAATTGCATGTTGTGCACAGTATGTTTGGTCATTGTGTTCTGCTGCTGAACAATACTGAACACATTGTTTAAACAGCGACATTATATCAGATATATATTAAATGGAACATGGTCATTTGGAAATGCACAGCAGGTGTCAGTGCGGCAAAATGAGTGAGCATGATATATTGTTTGTATATTCTTTATCAGAACTCATCTGGTAAGGGGATTACAAGTATCTTTATCAAACTCTAATTCATTACTCTTTTCTGGAATCTATTATGAACTTCAGATTTTCAGCATCTGGAATTTTTTATTTATTTATACAGCAAATAGTATATTCAATTAATTTCATATACAACTGGCTGGAACACAAAGGAACAACAAATTTAACATTGCTGCTGAAATAACATTTGGAAAGGAATAAAACACATAAGCAATCAAATAAAAGTGGTCTCACAGCCTCGTCAAACCCAGAACCACTAGCCAGAAACATTTTTATAAATGATTTTCCCTTTTATTTTATTTCCCTACAGCGCTGTTACCTTTGCTGATTTTAAACTGATCACCTGTCCAGTTACATGGGGTTAAAACAAATAAAATTATATCTGTGTAACATTTTTCTTGTGTTCCAAAGCTCGTTACAACCAGTAAATACTTCAGAGATGTAATGCAAGTGAATACAACAGTCAACTTACACAGTCATAAGATAAATATTGACCAGGATATTGAAAGAACTGCTCTTCTCTTTGAACAGCAGCAGAAGTAACACTTTTATAGCACCTTTAATATAATAATATCCTAAGCTTCTTCAGCTGAGCTTTGTAGAACAAAGTTAGGTACAAACAACATCTGTAATATTTGGGTTCATTTTTAGGAGTATTTTAAAAGAAGAAAGATAAGTTTAGGGAAGTAATTCCAGGACTTCGATCATAGACAGTTGAAGGCACAGCACCTAAAATGCAACAATTAAAGTCAGGCATGGTGAAGAGCCCAGAACTAGTTAGACCATAAGATCATATGATCATAAGATCATAGGAGCATAATTAGGCCATTCAACCTATCAAAATTGCTCTGCCATTCGATAATGGCTGATGTGTTTCTCAACCTAATTCTCCTGCCTTCTCCCTTTGCCAATCAAGAACCTATCTATCTGTCTTAAATTCAGTCAATGACTTGGCCTCCATAACCTTCTGCGGCAATGAGTTCCACAGATAAACTGTACTCTCTCTGAAGAAATTCCTTCTCATCTCAGTTCCAAAGGGTCTCGCAGCCGCGTCAAACCCAGAACCACTAGCCAGAAACATTTTTATAAATGGCTGTGCCCTCAGGTCCAAGTTTCTCCTATCAATGGAAGTATCTTCTCTACATCCACTCAAGCTAGACCTCTCAGTATCCTCTAAGTTTCAATTAGATTACCCTCTTCATCCTTCTTAACTCCATTGAGTACAGATCCAGAGTCCTCAATCGCTCCTCACGTGACAAGCCCTTCATCCCTGGGATCATTCTTGTAAACCTCCTCTGGACCCCCCTCCAATTCTAGCACATCCTTCTTTAGATACTGGACCCAAAACTGTTCACAATATTCCAAATGCAGTCTGACCAGAGCCTTATTCAGCCTCACCAGTACATCTCTGCTGTTGTATTCTAGCCCTCTTGAAATGAATACTAACATTGCATTTGACTTCCTAATTGCCAAATGAACCTGCACGTTAACTTTAAAAGAGTGCTGAACTAGTACTCCAAATCCTTTTGTGCTTCAGATTTCCAAAGCCTTTCCCTGTTTTGAAAATAGTCCAAGCCCCTATTCTTCTCACCAAAGTGCACAATCTTACACTTTCCCGCTTTGTATTCCATCTGCCACTTCTCTGCCCACTCGTCCAGGTATGTCCAAGTCCTTTTGCAGCCACCCCATTTCCTCAATGCTACTTGCCCCTCCACCTATCTTTGCCTCATCTGCAATTTAGCAATAATACTCTCAGTTCTTTCATCCATATCCTTAATGTATAATAAAGATAGCTGTGGTATTTCACTAGTCACTAGCTGCCATCCTGCAAAAGACCCCTTTATCTCAACTCTTTGCTTTCTGTTAATCAGCCACTCCTCTATCCATGCCAATACCTTGTCCCTAACACTATGGGCTCTTACTTTGTTTAGCAGCCTCTTGTGCATCAACTTGTCAAAGGCCTTTTGGAAATCCAAATAGATCATCATAGAATCATCAAACACGGGTCTCTGGCACTGTGAGGCAGCAGTGCTAACCACTGAGCCATCATGTCCACTGGCTCTCCTTTGTCTACTTCCTCAAAGAATTCTAACAGATCTGTCAGCCATGACGTCCCGTTGATGAAGCCATACTGATTCCACACTATTTTACCATGCACTTCCCAAATGTCATCCTTAACAACTGACTCTAAAATCCTACCAATGACAAGGTCAGGCCAATTGGCCTATAGTTTCCTGTCTTCTGCGTCCCTCCCTTCTTAAACAGGGGTGTTACATTAGCCAGTTTTCAGTCCTCTGGGGCCCTCAGTAACTCTAGTGATTCCTGAAAGTTGATTGTAAATATTGAGGGTTGTCGTGCTGGAGGAGATTACAAAGATAGTGAAGGATGAGACCATGAAGGGAATTGAAAATAATATTAAGCATTTAAAAACTTGACTGGGAGCCAATACCAGACATTAAGTACAAAGCAATATGAAAGGATCTAGGTGCGAGTAAGAATTTGAACTGCAAAAAGTTGGACGACCTCAAGTTTACAGAGTCGAGAATGTGGGAGGTCAACCATGGTATCTCTTACGCCCATCTCAGAAAGACATTGCCTTGGTTTAATTCAGAGATCAGATCCAAAGAAGCAGAAAGTTTGCTGTAACATTGTAGCACTGGGGCAATTATGGGAATTGGCAGGAGAGAGGTCATTAAGGGATCATAACCACAACAAAAATAAGATACGGTACCTATTACACCGTAAAAATTCAACAACTTAATGACAGGAAAAGAAAACCAGCAAAGAAATAGATAAGACTGCAAAGAAATAGATAAGACTGCAGAGAAACATGTTTTGAAAAGAAGTCATACCTTATAAAGAATCTAAATGGTATTTAAATATGTTTGACTGAGTTTGTTTAAAGTATGTAATTTCCAAGAGTTTATTTGAAAGGTCATCTTTAATAATCTACCACTACCCACCCATTTATTCGTTACTGGATTCTAAATGGATTGTTTTCTCTCTTCCACAACCTATTCACTCTCTGTTCCTGTGGCCCATTTACAAAATGAATATTGCATCCAACTGGCACCAGTCACATCTTCAGTGAATATAAGTGCATGTAAATAAACGTACCTTAAAAACCCAAAAGCCACAAGGCTTCAAACACACGAGAGAAGCATTTGCTCCTACAAAGGATTTCCCAAGAATCCTCCTCTTTCACAGAGCAAAACGAAAGCTGACAGGACCGACTAATATCCCAATGCGTTCCTCTTAAGAGGGAGCAAAGAAGCAGCGTTTACCTGAAAGAGTGGAGTTGATGTTCTGGCTGTTGTGGAAAGATCCCATCCTAGAGCTCTCTCCTGAATTTGTCGTTTCCGTAGCTTTCACTTTGAGCAACTACCGTATTCAGACGGACAGCTCAGACCGCCAATCATTTGGCAGGAGGAAGGATGTGGCTGACGCTGGCCCAGCTGTAGCCAAGTGGGAACTGAAACACGTCTTCTGAGAGTCGACGTAGGAACATAACAAGGCACTTTGGTAAAAGCTACTCTTTAATATGGGTGCGATAGGATGCGACACTTAAGTGTTCCATGTACAAAGTATAATATTTTAGGAAGCGACTGCGACCTAATGGTAAATATATTAGAATCAGGATTGTGCACAATGTAAGCATGCAGCTGAACCAGAAACAAACGGGAGTCGAAGATTATTGAGAGCAGACCGGAATTTGGAGTTAAATCAAATTGCCATGTCGATTGCATTGAATGATGGAGCGGGGTCGAGGGTTCGAATGACGTGCATTTTAATATTCTTATTTTAAATGAGGAAGATGGGGTTGGGGTCCTATCATTCCCTTGTCAGTTGCCAGAATTAAGGAAAACACTTCTTAAAGATCTAAACATTTAAAACTATGTTTTAAAAGTAACCATAAGAGTTTTAAAAAGTTATTGTACAGGATATGGGCATCACTGGCAAGGCTAGGATGTGTTGCCCATTCCCAAATTCCCTTGAGAATTCATTAGTATCTTGAACCATTGCAGTCCGTGTGATGTGGGTACACGATCAGTGCTGCCCGGAAGAGTGTTTCAGGAGTTTGATTCAGCAACAGTGAAGGAATGGCAATATAGTTCCTAGTAAGGATGGTATGTGGCTTGGAGAGGGACCTGCAGGTTGTGGTTATTTTTTATACATTCGAGGGTGTGACTGGCTGGGCCTGCATTTATTGCCCATCCCTGGTTGCCTTTCAGAAAGTGGTGCCTTGAATTGTTGAAGTCCACGTGTACTGTAGTTTAAGATTAAGGTTATACCCACAATGCCGTAAGGGAGAGAAGTCCAGGATTTTGACCCAGTAACACTGAAGAAGCAACAATATATTTCCAAGTCAGGATGATGGGTGGCTTGGTGGGAAACTTGCACAGAGTGGTGTTCCAATGAATCTACTGCCCTTGTCTTTCTCGATGGAAGTGGTTGTGGGTTTGAAAGGTGGTGTCGAGAGAACTTTGGTGAATTTCTGTAGTGCATCTTATAGTTGGTACGCACTGCTGCTAGTGAGCATTGGTGATGGATGGATGGAGTGAATGTTTGTGAATGTGGGTTCAATCAAGTTGGCTACTTGGCCACGGATGGTGTCAAGCTTCTTGAGTGTTGTTGAACCACTCATCCAGGCAAGTTAGCAATGTTCCAACACAATCCTAACTTGTGCCTTGTAGTTGGTGGACAGATTTTGGTGAGTCAGGAGATGAGTTACTTGTTGAAGGATCCCTAGCCTCTGACTAGCTCTTCTAACCCAGAGATTCTTTACATATCTTTATATTGATCAGTTCAGTTTATCATCAATGGTAACCTCCAGGATGTTGATAGTGGGGGATTCAGTGATGGTAACAACATTGAATGTCAATGGGCAATGGTTAGATTTGTTTCTTCTTGGAGATGGTCATTGCTTGGCATTTGTGGGAAATGAATTTTACTTGTCACTTTTCAGCCTAAGTCTGGATATTGCCCAAGTCTTCCTGGAGTGTTTCAGTATTTGAGGAGTCATGAATGGAACTGAATATTCAACAACAACATCATCAGCAAATGCCCCCACTTCTGACCTTATGATGGAGGGAAGATCATTGAAGTAGCTGAAGGTGGTTGGGTCTAGGAAACAACCCTGAGGAACTCCTGGAACTGAGATGACTGACCTCCAACAACCATGGCCATCTTCCTTTGTGCAAGGTATGACTCCAGCCAGTGAGCATTCCTCTTCATTCCTATTGATACCAGTTTTCCTTGGGGTCCTTGATGCTACACTCAATCAAATGTAGCCTCGATTCAAGGACAGTCACTGTCACCTCTGGAAATGAGCCCTTTTGTCCATGTGTAAACCAAGGCTGCAATGAGATCAAGAACCTGGCAGAACACAAATTGAGCATTACTGAACAGGTTATTGCTGAGCAGGTGCTGCTTGATGGCATTGTTGATGATACTTTCCATCACTTTACCAATGATCAAGAGTTGACTCATGAGGCAATAATTGGCTGAGTTAGATTTGTCCCGTTATTTTGTGTGTAGAACATACCTGGGCAATTTTTGACATTGCTGGTGGATGCTAGTAGCAAAGCTGTACTGGGACAGTTTGGCTAGTGTGCGGCAAGTTTTGGAGCACAGATCGTCAGTACTATTGCTGGGATTTTGTCAAGGCCTACATCCTTTGCAGTTTCGAATGGCTCCAGTTTCTTGAAATCACATAGAGTGAATTGAATTGGCTGAAAACTAGCATCTGTGATGTTGGGGGATATCTGGAAGAGGCTCAGATTGTTCATCCACTTGGCCCTTCTGGCTGAAGATAGATGCAAATACCTCGGTGCTATCTTTTACACTGATAAGCTGGTCTCCCCTATCATTGAGAATGGGGATATTTGTGGAGTCTTCTCTTCCAATGAGTTGTTTAATCATCCATGACCATTCACAATTGGATGTGACAGGATTGGTCCATTGATTGTGGAATTGCTTTGCTCTTTCTATTACTTGCTGTGAGGCTTGCCAGTAGACATGTTTTATATCTTCACCAGATGGATTTCTTGTTTTTAGGTATGACTGGTGCTGCTCCTGATGTACCCTCCTGCACTCTGTATTGTGTCTGGTTCAATCCCCTGTTTGACAGTAATGGCAGAGTGTGGGAATGTTGGGGAATGTGCCAGGCTCTGAGTTTGCAGATTGTACTGGAGTTCAATTCTGCTGCTGATGGCCCATAGCACCTCAAAATTCCGGTCTTCATTTGCTATATCTATTTGAAGTCTGTCCCATTTAGCTCAGTGATAGTGCCACACAACACAATCTGAGGCATTTTTAAAATGAAGGCAGAACTTCATCTCCACACAGACTGTGTAGTTGTCACCCTTACTAATGCTGTCATAGACAGATGCACTTATGGCGGGCAGATTGGTGAGGATGAGGTCAAATATGTTCTTCCCTGTTATTGGTTCCCTCACCAACTACTGCAGACCCAGTCCAGCAGGGTTGTCCTTTTAGGATACAACCAGGTCTATGAGTAATGCTGCTGCCAAGTTGCTCTTGGTGGTGGACATTGACATCCTCTACCCAGTGTACATTCTGCACCCTTGCCTTGCTCATGATTGACTAGGTGCCATGAGACTTTGTGGTGTCTGAAGTCAATGTTGAGGACTCCTATGCAGCTCCTTCACAACTGTATACCACTCTGCCAGAGGGATAGAACATATCAAGGGTTTGTGACAGTGATGTCTGGAATGATATATGGAAGTTATGAGGACAGCTGTCCCAATTTAGGCAAAAGACACTAGATATTAGTGAGGAGGACCTTGCAGAGTTGACAGGGCTGTTTCTGCCAATGGAGGACTTTGCAGGAAGGACAGGGCTGTTTTTGCAGTTGTGTACAGTACCTAGGTTGATGCCACATGGTCTGTCTGGTTTTATTTATCTTTTGAGTCTTTCTAGTGATTGTCACATGTGAGTGGCTTGCTAGGCCATTTCTGAGAGCAGTTAAGCACCACACCTGGATCTGACCAGACCAGGCAAGGACAATCATTTTCTTTCCTGAAGGATGTTAGTGAACCAGATGGATTTTCTGACAATCAAATCCTAATTCAAGTTTTTTATTGAATTCCAATTCCACTTTCTGCCATGGCGAGATTTGTATCCAGGTCCCCAGAACATTACCTGGGTCTCTGGATTAAATAACCCAGCAATATTACCCTGAGGTCATCACCTCTGCTTTATGATGTTACTACTGGTTATTTTTTATTCATTAACGGGATGAGGACGTCGCTGGCTAGGCAGCATTTATTGTCCATCCCTAATTGCCCAGAGGGCAGTTTAGAAACAATCACATAGCTGAGGGTCTGGAGTCACATGTAGGCCAGACCAGGTAAGGATGGCAGTTTCCTTCCTTAAAGGACATTAGTGAACCAGATGGGTTTTTCCAACAATCGACAATGGATTCACGGTCATCATTAGATTCTTAATTCCAGATATTTTATTGAATTCAAATTCCACCATCTGTCGTGGTGGGATTCAAACCCGGGACCCCAAAGTGTTATCCAGGTCTCCGGATGACCAGTCCAGCAATCATACCACTAGGCCCATTGCCTCCCCTACTGACATTGTTCTTCCAAATAGTAGGGCATGAGAATTGCGATGCTGTCAAAGGATTCTTGGTGAGTTGCTATGGTGCTTCTATTAAATGGTTATACACTGGTGAAGGAAGTGAACATTGAGGGTGTTGGAAGGGGTGCCAGTCAAGCAGGGTGCTTTGTCCTAGTTATTGCTGAGAATTTTTTGTGTGGCTGGAGATGCGCTAATTCACACAAGTGGAGAATAATCAATTATGTTTTTGACCTGTGCCTTGTAAATGGTTAGTTGCTGCAGAAGTCCCTAAACTGTTCTTGTAGCCACAGTATTTGGAGTCATAGAGGTCTACATCATAGAAAAGCGTCCTTTGACCCATAAATTCTGCATCAGTTAAAAACAAGCAACTAACTATTCTCAGAGATAGCTCACATCTCTGCCTCCTTGGCCTGACACAACCTATCCATCTTCTCTCCTATCTCTCCAGCCCTCCCACCTCACTGACCAATCCCCACTACTCCCTAACTGCACTCACCTATCACCATCCCACCTACCTTCCCCAGCCCCACCCAAAGAACAAAGAAAATTACAGCACAGGAACCGGCCCTTCGGCCCTCCAACCTGCGCCGATCCAGATCCTCTATCTAAACCTGTCACCTATTTTCCAAGGATCTGTATCCCTCTGCTCCCTGCTCATTCATGTATCTGTCTAGATACATCGTAAATGATGCTATCGTGCCTGCCTCTACCACCTCCGCTGGCAACGCGTTCCAGGCACCCAACACCCTCTGTGGCAGAACTTTCCACACATATCTCCCTTAAACTTTTCCCCTCTCACCCCTCCTCTCTCTATTTATTTCTGAACTCCCTTCCCTCTCCCAATTCTGAAGAAGGATCTCGACCCGAAACATCAATTTTCC